TAGAGAGAGAGAGAGAGAGAGAGAGAATGTTTAAAATGGGAACTAATACTTCTACTTTTTGATCAATAATAAAAAACAAAATGGTGACACGATGGTGAAATAGTAAATAATGAGAATCACATGTCATTTTGATGATCCTAACATGATATCTAAAAATCAAATTTGATGCTTCATACACTCAAAACTGTGACCAAGCTCCAAGAGATCAATCTCAAACTCTAGCACTACTATTGCATCTACCACAATCACTGCCTCCACCAGGACCACCCTCCTACCCACCACCATTAATGAAACCACTGCTTTCCTTCCATCCCCTTTGCTTCCCCCTACAGTTGACGCCACACCACACCGTCGCTTCCCTACCAGGCCCGTCCCAAGTCGATTTGAGGCCCAGGGCAAAAACAAAAAATGAGGCCCTTTAAAATTTAGTAATCACAAACAATAATACAATGATGGTATGGAGACAAGTACATGAGTACTTGTTATTAAATTAAATATATATAGTATGAAAAAAAATTGAAGCGGATTTAGAGTATGTGAGTTAAACATTAAAACCAATAAACCATTAGGTTAGTGCAAAAAAAAAAAAAGACAAACCAAAATAAAATAAAAACGAACAATCAAACCATTTTGAAAACCGCCACTTTGGTGTCCGGTAAAAAAAAAACAAAAAGACTAGTGTTTGGAAAAAAAAATCATATTTGGATGAAAACTCTAAAAGTAAAAAAACTTGAAAATGGTGTGCATAGCCTGAAGGTTAGCTTGAGTTTTTGTTAACAAACAATCAAATAATAGTTATTATATATTAATTGTTTTTTTGTTAACAAACATAAAAATAATAGTTATTATATATTAAAAGAGGATGTAGGGTAGAAAATCTCATATAGGAAAATTACGCGTGATAAGGACTAGGAAAACATCAAAATTTTAAATAAAATAAGTGTTTGGATGGTTTGTCAAAACCGTCACTTTATTATGCATGATAAGGACTAGAAAAAACACCAAAATTTTAAATAAAATAAGTGTTTTGATGGTTTGTCAAAACCGTCACTTTGGTGTCTGGTAAAAAAACAAAAAAATGAGTGTTTGGAAAAAAAAATTGATGAAAACTATAAAAATAAAAAATGGTCTGCATAACCTATAGGTTAGCTTGATTTTTGTTAACAAACATACAAATAATAGTTCTTATATATTAAAAGACGATGCAAGATAGAAAATCTCATATAGAAAAATCATGCATGATAAGGATTAGAAAAACACCAAAATTTTAATAAAATAAGTATTTGGGTGGTTTGTCAAAAAAAAAAACAAAAAGAATGAGGGACCATTTAAATAACTTGGATGAACACAAAAAAGAATGCAGGGGTTATTTTTGTAATTTGAATTCCAATTTTCAATAAAATGAAGGGTAAGTTATTAAAAAATATATAAAAAATGAGGCGTCTATAATAAGAATGCTTACAACAATACGAGAGCAAAAGTGATTATTTCTTATTAATTCAAAAAGCGCATGCTTATAATAAGAATCGAACCTACGCCCGCCTATAAAACTTACCGATTCTTACAACAATACTAACCAACTCATCTAATGAAATCTTGGTTTACTATTTAACATGACTCATATAAATAAAGTATCAAAGAATGTTAATTTTGGGGCCCCAAGCCGTAGCGAGGCCCGGGGCGATCGCCCACCTTGCCCGCCCTATCGGGCCGGCCCTGTTCCCTACCACCAACGAAAATCACCAATGCTTGTGGATCTAGAGCTAGGGAAGATGACACTCTCAAATTTGATTAGATCTATTGTGTTTGGTGCATTTCATGTATAGATCTGGATCTTAGCAGCGACACCGGTGCCGGTAGCCACCGGTGGTTCTAGGGATGAGCATTTGGACCGGGGAACCGGCCGGAACCGGTACCAAATAGAACCGATCATGCCGGAGCCGTGACGATATTCTTGTGGATTTTTGGAACCGGGAACCGGTAGAACCGGCAAAAACCGAAACCGTAACTGAAATATTTCTCAAAATATGTTGCTATTTCTCGAGAATCGGTTCCAACATTGAAGACCCGGCAAGAACCGGTAGGAACCGAAACCGGTAGAACCGACGGTCCGGTTCAGTTCCTATTTTCCACCAAGTTCGGTTCCCATGCCGGTTCCGATGCTCATCCCTAGGTGGTTCCACCGCCGTATCAAATATTTTACACTACCTCTACCTATCTCATTCATTATCCTCGTTTTCTCTTACATGTTCTTCGATGGTAGAGTTTTGAGAAGGAAATTATGAAAACAAGATGTACACATGGTGTTTAATGAAATGTCTTAGCGAAGTGTGTAAAAATTTAAACACTGGATATATTGTAAACTTTTATATTATCAATTAAATTGTGAATATAGTGTAAATTTAATTGCGAATGAATGTGTTAAACCAAGGTTGTCAAGATTGGGATCCTACATAGGATCGTTTTTAGGTTTGCAAGATCGGGATCGGGATCCTATGATCCTACAAAATGAAACATAATTTTAATACATGAAAAATATTTTAAACATTCAATTTTTTGTTCAAAAGTTATAAAAACTTCAAAATATTAGTCATAAGTCACAACATAAAATGATAATCGGTAATTTGGTAAACGGGTAAAAGACATAAAATGGTAAAATGATTTCATTTGCAAAAAAAAAAAAAAAAAATCAAGGAAAGGTAGGATCGGATCGGATCGGATCCCGATCCTACGATCCTACCTGCGATCCTACCCAAAATACTATCCGTTTACGATCCATATCGTTTTTCATACCTATGATCGTAGGATCGTAAAATCCTACGATCAGGATCGTGATTTTGACAACCATGGGTTAAACTATTAATAGTGTATATTAATGTGTGATTTTATTTGTATTTAAGAATTTATGTATATTTATGTGTTTCATATAAATTATACAAATGATTTTTTAATTTTAAGTATTTTCTATATTAAATTGTGAATGATGTAGGAATGAAATATTAAACTTTGAATGAGTGTATCATATTTAAAAAAAAAAATTAAAAAATGAAATGGAATGATAAGTAATGCTTAATTGAAAAGAAAAAATATAAAAGGTAAATTGAAACAACGCTCTTCAGCTTATGCCATCGGCTATGACTTTGTTTTTGACGCGTAAAGGGTGAGGTGGCAGGGATGTTCACGCATGAACACCGCCCCTAGCCCGTAAATGTGGTGTGGATTCGAACCGGTTACGCGTCCTTACGACCAATAAGATTCAATTTTGGCAAACGGTCAAAAATTGACCCGTTAACAATTTAAAAAAAACATCTTTTTTACTTTAAACTAAACTATATAAATACGAACACTTTTTATACCGTTTCACACCACAAAACCATTCAAATATCTTTCTATTCTCTTATTTTTTTTTTCTCAAAGTATGGATCAAAATCAAAATACCCCAACCATTCCAAACACCCCACCAACCTCAAACACTCCAAATGATCAATATCAAGGTTACATGCAAATGTTAACATCCTCAATCCAACAACACCCTCTATTTACCAACATTCCATATCAACCAAACTACTTTTAACAACAAAGACCACAACAATTAAATCAACCCAAATTTCAAGCTTTTCCAAAATTTCAACCTCAACAATTCCAAACACAACCATCTCAAAAATTCCAAACACAACCATCTCAAGTCTCATTATCTCAATCCCAACCTATAAACCTGGACAATGACGACGACGAACGAGTCGAAGAAACACAACCATCTAGAAGAAGGCAACCAAAAGGAAAAACTACAAAAAAGAGGAACGACTTGGAGCGAAGATGAGGAGGAAGCTTTATGTAAATCGTGGATTTTTATATCATGTAACTCAAGGTTGGGCAACGCGCAAACGAGAAACAGTTTTTGGCTTCGTGTTTTAGATCACTTTCACTCGCTTTTAGGAAGGCAAACAGGTCGAACGTACAATGCGGTTAATGGAAAATGATGTGAACTACGAACGGCTTGCACCAAGTTTAACGGCATATTTGAAAATTTGAAAAGTATGCATAAAAGTGGTAGCAACAATTTCAATATTCTATCAACCGCTTGCCAACAATACAAGGTTACCAACGGCAGTAAATCATTCGACCACCAAAAAACGTGAGAAATTTGTCGTAAGGGTCCAAAATGGGTCCTTAAACCGGAGACTTCGCATTCGGAATCGACCACCGACTCCAACAAAAGGCCAAGAACTTCCGAGTCCGATGTGGGTTTTGGTATCGACCTCAATGAAGACTTCGACGACACCGAAGGGGAGGGTCCACTGGAAGTCCAACTTCGTCGACTATCGGGAAGGGACAAAGGGAAAAAGCGGCGTCTTCAAACGGAAAAACGAGTAATGAAGACGTACTTGCGGAAAAAACTGACAAAACTCTAAGTTTTTTACAAAAAAAAAAGAACCAACGGAGGAAGCTCGTTCCCGGAAAAATCTATCCGCGTTTCTGAAAATCCAACAACAAGTTCGTGACAAGTATTAAAATTAGGTTTTTAACGTTTAAATTTTTATGTTTAATTTTCTATGGTTTTTAAGTCATTTAGTTTAAATTTCTATGGTTTTATGTTTTTTTAGTAAATATGGTTTGAAATTTTATGTTTTTATGTTTTTTTAGTAATTTAAGTTATGTAATGTGTTTTTATGTAATGTGAAGTATTTATTTATGTTTATTAATTAGGTTTTTTTTTTTATTTAATCTAAATATAAAAAAAGATAAACAATATGGAGTGATAACCATTTCCAAAGGCTAGTGAACATGTAGTGAAGATGATGTGACGCATAGATGTCATCATATTTTTCTAGTGAACATGTAATGACCACACCCCATAGCCTTATAGTTAAATAAGAATAATTAAGTTAAATAACAATAATACAATTAATATCATTATTACCAATACAACATGAGATTGTTAGTTTTTTATTTGGTTTAAGTATATAGACTAAAAACACATAAGTATTCATATATCACTTGCATTCTCAACAAGAAATTAAAAGAAAATAATATCATTTTCATTCACCAACTCCTAAGTCCTAAATATGAAAAGAAAAAAGCAAACCAAGGGCCAAGATGTAATCTAAGCGATAGTTGATCTAAGATTCCACCAACACACAGAATGAATCTGGCACGTACGTTCCATCTTACACCACCCCCACCTCCATCCCCGCCTATATAAGCAACATCTCCACGACCTTTACTCCTCGCCCTTAGCTCCTTTGCTTTCAGAAGAGCAAGAAGAGGAAGATCAAACCGTACAGATTCATCCTCTCCTTTCTACTCTTCCCAAAGGTATTTGGACTAATCTAATCTAATCTAATCTAATCTACTCCCTTTCTCTGGATTCACGGCCGCCGCAACGCCGGGAAGTTTCTACGTTTGTCGGTGATTGAAAAATCCAAGGACTAATGTTAAAACTGTGTCGGTTTGCGATGTATTTGTGGTTTTGTTTAACTCGTTAGCCGTGGATTATATGCTTACGTTGATTCTCCCGGGTTTTTAATCATCTCTATGACATGCTAAGTTGCTGTTGAAGTGTGTGCTTTTTGTTGATTCTTCTCGTTAGAGTTTCCATTAGGTTTGAAATTGATATGAAAAACTGTTTATCTTAGGTTGAATTTGATTTATTCTAGCAATTTAGTCAGATCTGGAGCTGAATCATAGTTTACTCTGCTAGTTCTAACACCAAATTAGCACAGATCTATCACTTCATCATGCTTTGGACTTAGGAATTGTTCTGTGTCGTATGCTTCATGGATCTAGTATACACGTTACCTATTATTTACTCAGTCTGTTTAGGGTTCCAAGTTTTGAGTTGAAATCATGTCACAATTTCGTAATTAAAGGTTTTGTAGCTTCGTTTTTAAGTGTTTTTTTTACTTACTGACCAATTTGATCGAATATTCAGCTTTGCAATAATGGAGACCTTCTTGTTCACATCCGAATCTGTCAACGAGGGACATCCAGACAAACTCTGTGATCAGATTTCCGATGCAGTTCTTGACGCCTGCTTAGCTCAAGACCCCGACAGCAAGGTCGCCTGTGAAACCTGCACGAAAACCAACATGGTGATGGTTTTCGGGGAAATCACCACTAAAGCTAACATCGACTACGAAAAGATCGTCCGTGACACCTGCCGGGAGATTGGATTTGTTTCTGATGACGTGGGTTTGGACGCCGACAACTGCAAGGTCCTTGTGAACATCGAGCAACAAAGCCCAGATATCGCCCAAGGTGTCCATGGCCATTTAACCAAGAAGCCTGAAGACATCGGCGCCGGTGACCAAGGCCATATGTTTGGTTACGCCACTGATGAAACCCCTGAACTGATGCCGCTCAGTCACGTCCTCGCCACCAAACTTGGCGCCAAATTGACTGAAGTCCGGAAAAACGGCACCTGTGCATGGCTGAGACCCGACGGAAAGACACAAGTGACGGTGGAATACCATAATGACAACGGAGCCATGGTTCCTCTTCGTGTCCACACCATTCTCATCTCCACCCAACACGATGAAACTGTAACAAACGATGAAATCGCAGCTGACCTCAAGGAACACGTCATCAAACCAGTCGTCCCTGAAAACTACCTTGATGAAAAAACCATCTTCCATCTCAACCCTTCTGGTCGTTTTGTGATCGGTGGTCCTCATGGTGACGCCGGACTGACTGGCCGGAAAATCATCATCGACACATACGGTGGTTGGGGTGCTCACGGTGGTGGTGCTTTCTCCGGGAAAGACCCAACGAAGGTGGACAGGAGTGGGGCGTATATTGTGAGACAGGCGGCAAAGAGTATTGTGGCTTGTGGGTTGGCGAGGAGAGCGATTGTTCAGGTGTCATACGCCATTGGTGTCCCTGAGCCATTGTCGGTGTTTGTTGACACTTATGGAACTGGAAAGATTCCTGATAAGGAGATTTTGAAGATTGTGAAGGAGAACTTCGATTTCAGGCCTGGGATGATTTCGATTAATCTTGATCTTAAAAGAGGTGGAAATGGGAGGTTTTTGAAAACGGCGGCGTATGGACATTTTGGTAGGACAGATCCTGATTTCACATGGGAGGTCGTCAAGGAACTTAAGTGGGACAAGCCATAAAAACAAGAAGGAAATTCAATTATGTGGTGTTTTCGCTTTTCTTGGTTGGTTGGTGAAATGTGATTGTGTTTTTTTTTTTTTTTTTTTT